AAATTTAATATTAATAAAATAAAAAGGTTTTATATTAGCTATTTTAACTTCGTCAAATTACCCCTTTCTACCTTATAACTAATTTACCTTAATTAAAATCCTATTTAAATAGTTTATATTTTGTTTATATACTTCATACTCATTATCATTATCTTCTACAATATATTCATCTTTGTATTCAATTATTGATTCTTTAATTGGTAAAATATTTGGAACCTTATAGATTTCTAAATTATAAAAATAAAATACATTTATAAATTTACCATCGTATGTAGAAATTAGTGGATAATTTCCATTTTGCTGACCCTAAAATATAAGTAAAACTATAATTATTAGTTATACTATTATATATAATAATAATAATATATAATAAATAGAATATATAATACTTTTTTAAAAAAGGTTAAATCAACTTTATTAATCGAATTAACTAAGTGTTTGCACAAAAAAAATCAACTTTTCATATATACTATACACGTACAAGTCTATTGATTTGGATTTGTAAAATACAAATTGTCAGATTTTAATTCTTTTTTTCTAGTTTCTTCCATTCTTGCTTGAATTCTTTTCTCTAATGTACTGAATAGCGGCCTTGCTGTAATAAATGAAGCCAGTATAATTGCTGATCAATAACTCTTGCTATTAAGATATAGCAAAGATGATCTATTTATAGTTTGTAAAATTTGTAGAGATGTCATGTTTTATATATCATCAATACTAACTTTACAATCATTATTGTTTTAATATGACAAATTTCACTATCTGTGGCTCATGCCCACAAAACCTATCTTTTTTGACAATACTATTGATTTCAGAAATATATCCAAAGATTAATCAAATTATTCTCTTTGCAGTAAGATATCATTTTATTTATACATTCATTCCATATAGCCTGTTGATTTACATAAAATTTACTGTTAGATTTTGGCAATAATATATGCTGACTAAAGTGTAATTCTACTAGATTAATAACTTGTTTGCAAAACTTTAATAGACAATACATAGTATTATCATTGTTATCTCTTTTTCAGTAAAGATCAATAGCTGAATATTCCTCGTGTACAATAATCAGATCATATTTATCTAAAATTAGTTTGCGTAATGCAATTCTTTGTTTTATTGCATGTACAACATGCCAAAAACATAATCGTAATTGTGTATCCGGCTATACTTTTTGAGCTGCATTTATTTCACAAAAATCTTTATCCATTAAAATATAAGGAAAATTTTCTAATTATTTACATTTAAGTGCATATATCTATTGGGATAAAATAGTTGTTACATTTTGATTTTTCCTGCAGCTATTAAAAGATAACTTAATAGAAATTTAGTTCTGTCGATTTCTCTCATAAGTGTATATAACTTACATCCCATTTTGTTTGTTCTAAAAGTTGTATCAACTAATATAGAACTAAAATTATTGCATAAAAGTTTATAAAAAAGAGTAGTAAGAAACCCAAGTGCAGGCATTAGTGTAGATAAGTCAACAATAATCTCTTGATTAAACTCAGCTAACAATAATTTTGCAAAAATTAAAGGATCAGAACTATGTTAATATATTCTTTGAGATCCTTTGACCACCAAAAGTAAGTTTGTTGAATAGTAAAATTTTCATATCCATTAAGTTGTTTTTCTTTAATTTGACAATACAATTCTGGAACCAAGTAATTAATATTATTTTTAATAAACTTACAGATTTCTGAAGAAGTTGCAATATGAATAGAACATGGATGTAGCATTAAATAAGAATATTTAACTTTAATTAAATTTAAAGAAATGAAACTTCAACCTTTACAGTTCCTTCACAATTATATCATTCAATTCTTGTTAGTGTATCTCTTTGAGATTCTGGATTTGGGTGCTTAATTTGATATTTTGTATGATCAATATGGCAATTACAGTAATAGATTACTAATAATGAATTTTTTTTTGAATTTTTATCTTTGTATATCCATCTATATTCATCTTCTTTTTCAATAAATTTCATTATATATTGGACAACTTCAAGGTAAAGTTTTTCATCTTCTACAAAACTTTCATCATTTTCATTTAATATAATGTCAATTACAGAATACAGCTCAATATTAAAATCAATAGCTAATTCTACATTGTCATTTTCATAGAATTCATTAATATTATCAAGAGAAATCAATGAATTGTATACGAATTCACTAATATTTGAATAGTCAATTATAGTTTCATCTTCTATGTTATTTTTAAGTCATTCTGTTGTTCGTCTATCTCTATACAATTGGCACCAAGTTAAAATTTTATTATTTTTGCGAACTTCTCAATATTCTTATTTTTGTCACAATTGTTATATTTTTTAGTTGACATTTTTATTATTTGAAATTAATTAGTTAAAGTAAGTATAATATATATATTTTTTTTTTAAAGTAAAGTTTTGCCTTTATCTTTATTAATAGTTTGTATTGAGAATCCACTATGGGTTTCTTTGACCAGAGCCAATTTACAAAAGTTTT